CACCGCGCGTTAGGATTTGCACGTAAATATACGCCCGATTTATGACACCAACGGCTTGCCATACCTGCATGCCTGCCTGTCCGCCCGTCCGCATTATTGCATTATTATTATTATTGTTGTTGTTGTTGTTGTTAATCCAGGAAGTGCCAAACAATAAGTTAGGACATAATGGTTCAGATTTATTGTGAGAATTCTACCTTATTTTTATTTCGCAGTTTGTGACTTTGAGCTGAGCGGTCCAGAAGGGTTTGTGGAATCAATACAGATCAGCAAGGAGGGCCGGGCACTGCAGACTGAAGCTGTGGACTGCAGGTGGTACATCAGGGCCCCACCGAGTTTTAAGGTGTGTATCCTCAGCGTTTCACCCGGGAAGCATCAGAAACTGATCCTACAACCAGAATCCCTGCTCATGTTCTCTGCTCTGCTCTGCTTTACCCCTCCCCACAGATCTACATGCGGTTTCTGGAGTACGAAATGCACAACTCAAACGAGTGCAAGCGGAACTTTGTCGCCATCTACGATGGGAGCAGCTCAGTGGAGCACTTGAAGAACAAGTTTTGCTCCACTGTGGCCAACGACGTCATGCTGGCTACCTCAGTGGGTGTGGTGAGGCTGTGGGCCGATGAGGGGAGCAGGAAGAGCAGGTTCAAGATCCTCTTTACGACTTTCCACAATCGTAAGTTAGAAAGAGATCAATATTTAAAATGATAAAATAAACCARTACACCCATCAAAGCATCTTTGTCTTCTATAGAGTTCTATAAAAGAAGTTCACTCCGTCCATATAAATTAGCACTCAGAGTATTTCATGCTGAGATATCACTCAGCTGCCATGGTGGTTATCTGTACATTAATTTGAATCAAAAACGTGACCATTCAATTTTTGCTTTCTAAAGGTTTCAGCAAAATCTGCTCATTTTTTCATGAAATATTTTGCTAACAGACAAACAAACATGTGCACACACTGGCAAACATTAAGGGAGCAAACTAATTATAACTATTTTGCCCTTGGTTTAGTTATTTTTTTCAAAAATACTAAAAAAGGCAAATTAGCTTCTCTCTCTCTCTCTCTCTCTCTCTCTCTCTCTCTCTCTCTCTCTCTCTCTCTCTCCCACACACACACAC